CTAGCTCGGCAGCAGTCGCCCGCTCCGCTGCACGCTGCCCCTCCACCCACGCTGCGGCCGCCTCGGCCGCTCGGACCTGGGACTCGCGGCAAGCGGACTCCACCTAGCGCTCAAGCTCGGCCATCCGGGCGTGTTCCGCCTGGAGGAAGTAAGACTTGCGGGATGACACTTTCCTTATTTCCTGTGGGAAAAAGGCATGCTAAAAACACCCGACGAAAGATTCAAAGGGCAATGATAAGTACCAAAAACTCACCTCCGCGGCGAGCTGCAGGTCGACCTCAACCAGCTGCCGGGCAAACTGAGCCTGCTTCCGGGCACTATCAAGTTCGCGGACAGCTTGGTGAGTTCGGACACCGTGGCATGCCCTTGCCCCCCAAAAATGTCCCAGAGCTGGCGCTCTCGGGAATCCCGGAGGATGAACCTTGCCTTCGACGGGTCCTCGGGGAAGGGCCACTCTAGATCACCCTCCGATGAACCGCCAGAGGGCCCAGCCTCCGATCGGACCACCACCAGCTCCCGCAGCGACACCGTCGGTTCTGCCACGGTATCCGCCTCATCATCAGATGGGATTTCCACCACCACGTTCGCATGGGACACCGCCGGGCGTCCCAACTCCGTCCCGATCACGCTTCCCTCCAGTGCCTTCGGCTCCGACGGCAAGGATAGGTCGTGTAGCCCTCCACCCGGCGAGGTAGGGAGCTCGCCCCCCCTTGTCTCCTCCACAGCGACCGGCAGAGGAGGGGCCGTAAGAGTTACCTCCGATGCCACCCCCACCATCGGCACCGGGATCGCCGCCAACAGCGTCGCCGCCGCTATCACGTTGTCAGCAGCCGCCCCAGGGAGCACCACCCCCGGGAGGGAAGGCTGCGCCGCCGCCACCCTGCTGCCCCCTTCGTTCGCCGCAACACGCTGCAGAGTGGGCCTCCAAACCTCCTGCACAGGGGTCGAGACGATGCTCAACCCCGGCATCCCCCGTCCGCTAACAAAAATCGTGGGTAAGCCACACTCCAAAAAGACTCAACCATCAAAAGTCGAAGAGGCAACAAAAGGAAACATACCGGGTGGCGAGCGGCACTACTCTGAAGGCAGGCTCCGACGACGATGGGCCCATAGGATGAGGACCACTCCCGGACTATGACCCGCTCCCCCTCACTTCAGACGGGGTCGGAGTCGTTCCAACCGGCTCCTGCCCGGCCTGTGGGTCGCTACGACCTCTGGCTCGGGGCTCTCCGACCGGAGCAGCGGGCGGGGCGTCCCTCGACTATGAGTCGCGCATCGACCGGGCGCCAGTCTGCCCCTCAGACCGCCCGGACTGCTCGACCGCACCCACGGCAGGCGGGGCCTCCTCCGGCCGCAAGTCCAGCGTTGGCACCGGCTCCGTCGCCGCACAGGTGCCGGTCCGCTTCTCGGACCGCCCGACTCGTCCAGCAGCGTCCGCCACAGGCGACGACGGAGCTGGCAACGCCGCCGAGGGGCACGGTGACCATGTCCGCTTCGCCGCCCATTCACCGACGACATCCCACTCGTAGCGTGCTTCCTCGACGTAGGAACCTCCGCACGCCGCGCGGCCTCCTGCTCCTCGCCAGCGGACGCCACCGTAGGGTCGCGATGCTCCGCTGAGGTCACGGTGACCTCCCGACTCTCCTCCTCATCAGAGAAGACCATGTCATCCAAATCCATAGGATCGTCCGACGTGAGTTCTGACTCGACATCGTTCCTACATTCCCCGGCCCTCACGCGCCGGGCGACCTCCATCTTCTTCTTTTCCTTACGCCGAACCTCCCTGGTTTTCTTCTTCTTCCGAGCGTCTACCGCCTCCTTCTGTGCGGCCTGTCGGGCCTAGCCCGCCGGCCCCTTGGGAAGGTGCGGCTGGGACTTGTACCTCCCAAGCCCCTACGGAACAAATGAACCGAAATAAAAAAAGAAGGGGGCAGAGAAAAAAGCACGAACCCATTTCAACTGGGGCATAGTCCCTCCAATGACACGACGGGATAGATACTCCTTCTCGGAGATCTCACCAATGATAAGAGAGGCGGACGCCTCAACTTCAACAACGAACTCTTCGTTCGTTTCATCTGTAGCACGCTGGATATAGAAGCAAGGGCAGAACTCCCCATCCTCACTACCAAACACAGGAAGCTTCATCTGCACCAAAGTCATCCTAGGCCTAGATTTACCTAAAGGCCAGAAGTTTGCAGTGACCATCTCCTCAACAAGGTCGCAACCTCCGGAAAAGCGGCAGGCCTTCGCAAAGGCAGCATCACACACCGCACGGTCCTCGTCAACCTCTGACGGTGGGCTCACTCGAGTCGAAGGCTTCATGTCACTCATAGTACAAGCAAAAGGATACTTCTTGACTTTAGGCCCCAACTTAGGCTTAACACCAGGAGTATTCACATAGAACCAATAGCGAGCCCAATCCATCTCCCACTTATTCTTCTGGGCATAGGATAGCTCCAACCCACCATCTTTCTGATCCCTCTTTGCCATAAAAGCGCAACTGGCAAATTGATATTCAACATCTACCCCACCGACCTTCGCCTTCTTTGGTTGGCATTGGAGCTCATAGTAAGCACAAAATGTGTCGAGGTCAGGGGAGGCCCCATAGGTCTCACAAACATAGCAGAACTTACTTAATGTAAGAACTCCATTTGGTGTGAGATGGTGAAGTTGCACCTTAAACGTCTCAAGCACTAGGCGGAAGAAGTAGACCGGGGGGATGCGGAGGCCACAAGAAAACAAGTCCTTGAATACGACAACCTCATCGACCTCCGGCTGGGGAACGGTCTCGCCACGCGGAGGATGACCCTTCCCCGTCGAAAAATAGCCTTCATCCTCTAGCGCCTGGATTGCCTCCTCCGTCATGAGCGGAGGCCCAAAATCCCAAGACTTGACCATTACCTTCTTCTCCTTTCTCAGCGAAACATGAACAAGATCTCCGATAGAAGCCTCGATATTTTCCAAATTATCTAGAGCCTCTGCAGATGCAGACATACACTCTTTGTACCTCTTCGACCAGCCCACAACCCTCACACCAAGCAAGCGGGAATAAGGACCGCTAAAAGTGGGCCAACGAACGTCAAAACTCAAAGGCAAAGCCACTTCCAAATCCTAAACCTAAGTGAACTGAAGGCAGTGACAGAAGAAAACCCGACGGCGCAAGCACAAAGCGGCGCAACAAGTTAAGCAAAGGAAAGCGCTGAGAAAGCAAGAAGTGCTTGGAAAGCTACAAGAAAGAAAGCAACGACTCAGGCAAAGTGGGAGGGGGCCTTCCCACCAACCCCCCCCCTTATATAGGCCGCAGCCGACGCTTCAAATTCCAGGCGCCAACGGTTGTGACTGTTCACGAACGAATCGGTTCCAGAGCCACTGCTACAAATCATGAGCCAACAAGTCACACCTCCAACGGTCTGATCCGGGCGATCCTGGGGGGGAAGCGGGGGAAGCCTCCACCACTCGACACTAGCGCTAGATTTGAGGCTCACTGCCCGCTCGCATCGGACCACACACTCAAGGGGGGGGGACTGTTGGGGCATGGATACGCGAGTAGCGGAGGCCAGAGCGTGTGAACTAACGATAATAAAATTATTGAGTAATGTCATGCAGGTACAACCAGCAGGGCCTTTGCCCACCATCCAGCAAAGGCGGACGGTCGGAGCGCAAAGGAGGAGGCCTTCCCAATAAAGGCGAGAGGCGGAGACCACCCAGCGAAGGCGGAGGCCGCAGCGTCAGGGGCGGAGGTTGAGCAGATTTCACCGTGGCGGGGAGGTTCACGGCGCGGCGGAGACCCTGGACTAAAAATGCGCCTCAGTTGGGACGGCGGCTAAGGCCCAAGAAGACAAGGCGGTTCAAAGAGGAGGACCAGTTTGCCCCGGGCTGTTTGTACTGGTGGAAGGATATTCAGAGAATGTACCGTAGCAGTTGTAGAGCAAAAATGTAAAAAGGGAGCAGTAGTGAATGGCGTTCTATAAAAGGGGGAGCTCAACCCTTCAAAGTTGGTTGGTGAATACATTTATGAAACCCTAATTATGCTAGGGCCCACCTTCCATTTCTTATAGCCTCTGCCCAAGGCACCCATTTGGGCGAAGGCTCCTTCTGCGAATCCCCAACCTTCTCGGACCTTATTGGTTTTCAACATTGGATGTTTGACACTAATTAAGAGTATTAAACATAGACTAATTATAAAACTAAATGCACAAATGAAGACTAATTTGCGAGACGAATCTATTAAACCTAATTAGTACATTATTTGACAATATGGTGCTACATTAAACATATGCTAACGATGGATTAGTTAGGCTTAATTGATTCTTCTGGCAAATTAGTCTCCCTCTATGTAATTAGTTTTATAATTAGATCATGTTTAGTCTTACTAATTAGCATCTGAATATCCGATGTGATAGAAAACTTTACTCCTGGATCAAACACCCCCTGTGACGGAATCAAGAGCCCAGGTCGACGCAGAGAGGAGCAGTGATGGATTAAAAACTGCCAGATTGGGCCTTGTGGAGATTCTGAGGTGCGAGAGCGCTACCAAGAACGTTGCGAGAGGAACTTGGAGGCATTTTAGATCGAACAGGAGAGGGGTTGACGAAAAAAAAAACGGACACCAACCACGGACGCGGCAGGAGCAGGAGGCTGTGTTCGTTGTGAAAGGCTACTCCGAATCCGAATAAGATCGGATTAGGCTGTATTAAGTATTGAAGTACAGATATACATCAAAAACCGGAAGTTCACGAACCAAAACCAAAACGGAATAGAAAATAGTTCACGAACCAAAACCAAAACGGAATAGAAAATCAGAAGTTAATAGAAATAAAGGTACTCAAATACTTAGTGCTCTGTGCTCGGTACGCGATCCAGAAACTCAATAGAATATATATCTCGGTTTCCCGGCAACAAACTCGATCCGATCGACAGAACATCTCGTTTTCCTTTTGCCTCTCGATTCGCTTTATTTTGGTCGTCAGATCAAACTCTAGGAAGAGTACTCCGTTATCATGTCAGCAACCAATGCAGCGTCTGCTGCCGTTGGCATCAGCAGCAGCGACGGCGAGGCCCTGACCACGTCGGCTATCGTCGCGGCGGAGGCTGTGACTGGGTCGCACGTGCTCCAGATCAAAGCCTACTCCACGACGACCAAGGAACTCGGCAACGGCAAACACATCAAATCCAGCACATTCAGCGTGGGTGGTCATCGCTGGTATATTAGGTACTACCCTGATGGCAATGCCTTGGAAAATGCCGGCTGGATTTCTATCTACCTGCAGCACGATCATACCGATGCCGCTGTGGAAGTCAAAGCTGGATTCGTATTTGGTGTTCTGGACAACAGCGGTCGATATGTACCTATGTTCACAACAAAAACCTCTGTGGACGATACCTTCTGCTGCAAAAATCGACGCTGGGGCTTCTCCAAATTCGTTACAAGGAAAGCCCTAGAGGAATCGTCTTATATAAGAGATGATTGCCTTAAAATAAGGTGCGATGTCATCGTCTCTAAGGGCATCAGCACAGAGGCCACTATGCAGTTCGTCCTCGTGCCGCCGTCCAACTTGCATCTGCATTTTGGTTCCCTCCTCTCAGGCGCGGTGGGGGCCGACGTCACTTTTGAGGTTGCCGGAGAGATGTTTGCTGCACACAGGTGTGTGCTGGCTGCAAGGTCATCGGTTTTCATGGCAGAGCTCTTTGGCCCCATGAAGGAGAAGACCATGAACTGCATAGAGATCCAAGACATGGAAGCAAGGGTGTTCGAGACCATGCTCCACTTCATCTACACCGACACCATGCCTGATATTGACCAGGAAGATGCGTTTGTGATCACTGATCACACAGCATTTGCTTGTAGCAGCGGACAGATATGATCTAGAGAGGCTCAAACTGATTTGTGAGGACAAGCTCTGCATGTGCATCGACACAAGCACCGTAGCGACTACACTGGCAGTCGCTGAGCGGCTTGGTTGCCTGGGGCTCAAGAAGGCATGTTTTGAGTTGCTGAAGTCGCCTAGCCATCTGAAGACAGTCTTGGCAACCGAGAGCTTTGATCACCTCATGACTACTTGCCCATCTCTTATCAAGGAGCTGCTCGCCAAGATGCCTATATGACATCTTCACATTGGGACGTGCGTATGTTTAGTTTTCACAATTCAGGGCAAAGTAATGCACTTGATCTAATGTGGAGCAGTAATGTATGGCTGAAACGTTGGTTTTGCGTTACTTGACAACTGATGAGTTTTGTTTAATCTGTGTGTTTTGTCACTGCATATTAGAATTTTCTATGATATAATCATATACTATAGCATTACAGCAGGTCGAGTTGTTTTTCTTACGATAAGCCATCAATTTATGATTCTAATGAAAATATGTGAGCAAGAGCAACTCGATCTAGCAATTGCCATTAAATCACGACTGCTACTTTATATTTGAGGACTCGCTTTTTTTTGGCTCTCAATAATAGCGCCATTAAATGTACTCTATATTATAAAAAAACACTGCCCTTCTCCATTATCAAAAAATAATAAAGTAACATCTAAATTACTCACTTCAGCAAATAAAGAGTTCCTACTTAGAACAAGAAATTTGTTTGTATTCTTTGAGAATTGAGAGCCTCCATGAACAATGTGGTGAAAAATGACCCCAAGAATGGTGAAGGAAGGGTGGGAGTCATGGGTAAAGAAGTGGAAGGAGTGAGCATGAAGAGGATCGAAAAGGGGTTTGATTTGGTTCCAGGCAGTTTTCACTCCCGGATTATACGGTGATCTGGTGGTGAAAACAGGTGGAGCGCAGTTCCCATTTGATCTAGAGGTGATTAATCGTTTTCACCGCTGTGTCAGTGGATGATCTGGCAAAGAAAATCATGGTGGTTATCACCGTAGGATTGTAAAACGAAGCGGCGGCGAAAGCAATTTTCACCATTGGCTCAAATGGGCATTTAACAAAAAAAATAGTGGTGAAAACAATCACGGCTCTGTCCACAGTCTCTCTATATGACCCGGCCACCGCCAAATCATCCACTAATCCACTGCCGGTTTTCATACCACGTGTCCTGCCATCTTTTGAACCGGTGGTGAAAACCATGTTATGAAAATGAACCTATAGATGTGAATTAAGATTCAACCTAGAAGAGTGTTGGGAAGTTGCTTCACAGCAGGGTGAGAGGAGATGGGTCCTTCGCGGTGGCAAAGGCCGACACAATGGGTAGACTCTCAACTGGGACTACTCACCAAATTGGGGTTTCATAAATGCTATCCAACTACCCCCTTTACATGGGGTTTGGTTCCCCCTTTCATAGGTCACTATTCACTGAGGTACTACTTTACACTTTTGCCCTTTAACAGCTAAGGCATATCATTATGAATATACCTGTACAAGTATAATCTTCTAGGGGCACCTTATGTCTTCTCTGCTTCCACCGCCTTTGCTTCTTGGGCCTTGGTGGCGGGCTCGTTGGAGGCCCATCTCTGGCTTGGGGTCCCTGCGCCGTGGGGATCCCTTCCTTGATCCGGCGTAGGTCCTCTAGTCTTCTTGGGGCCTCCGCCTTGAATGCCTCCATCTTCGCCTTGCTGCTCGCCCGAGCCATTAGAACCTCCGCCTTTATCTTGTGGCCTTTGCCTGATACCCTGCTATGGGTCGTCTTCTTCAGGTGACTCCGCCGTCGTTCTTGGGCCTTCACCAAGCCGGAGGGCTCGGGCGAAGGCCCCTCTTGGTACTTCTGCAAAATCATTAGTTATGCATTTTTCTGATGTTAGTCTCTAGGGTTGAGCTCATCCTCCACGTCTCATATATCTGTGTCCCAGCAGTTCCCCCTTGAGGGTATGGTCTGATGTAGGCGGGCCGTTACCCTCAATTTTCTCACTGATGTTGGGCTGCGGAGGCTCCTGTGGAGGTTCCCTCCTCTCAGGCACGGTGGGGGCCGATGTCACTTTTGAGGTGGCCGGAGATATGTTTGCTGCACACAGGAGTGTGCTGGCTGCAAGGTCATTGGTTTTCATGGCAGAGCTCTTTGGCCCCATGAAGGAGAAGGCCATGAACTGCATAGAGATCAAAGACATGGAAGCAAGGGCGTTAGAGGCTATGCTCCACTTCATCTACACCGACACCATGCCTGATATATTGACCAGGAAGATGCGTTTGTGATCACTCAGCATTTACTTGTAGCAGCGGACAGATATGATCTAGAGCGGCTCAAACTGATTTGCGAGGACAGGCTTTGCAAATGCATCGACACAAGCAACGTTGTGACGACACTAGCGCTCGCTGAGAGGCATGGTTGCCATGGTCTCAAGAATGCGTGCTTCCAGTTGCTGAAATCGTCTAGACATCTGAAGATGGCCATGGCGACTGAGGGCTTCGATCATCTCATAACTACTTGCCCATCTCATGACTACCTGTCCATGACGTCCTCTCACATTGGGACGTGTTTATGTTTAGTTCTCATTCAGGGCAAAGTGATGCTCTAGTTCTATTTGTTGAGTAGTGATAATGTATGGTTGGGTCCACCTTTCTTGATTAGTGATAAGTTTTGTTTGATCTTTACTTTTGTTACTGCATTTTGAATTTAACAAAATAATCAAGATCCAGTAGCATCGCAACAGCTTGAGTTGTTTTTTTTAGGATAAGCCATCAGTGTATGATTAATTACTGTAATGTATATGATCAAGAGTAACTTCAGCAACATTACATTTATATTTGTTTTTATATTTATATGGAAAAACACAAGAAATTAGAACGGCAAAACCAAACGTAGGACCAAAAAAGAAAATGAAAACTAAAAGACTGTTCGGGATCCAAGGACGAAACCAGAATAGAATGGAAAATAAGTAATAGACCGCTAAGAATTAGAAGCTGTTTATATCTATATATACTTCTATAATAACTAGCAAAATTGCCCGTGCGTTGCATTGGGGTTAAAGAAAAATATATACTAATTTTTATTCGACTAAAAATTTAGGTGTAAAAGAAGCGATTGTTTATGTCAAATAGTCGAATTTTGTTTAGTGTGCGAACGCCCGTGGCAGTTGTGGTTCCTCTCCTCCACCTCGCCAATCTCCTCAAACACCACTACTATCTTCTCTAGCTCAACCATGCAGGGCACAACGTCCTTCCTCCGTACCTTCTCAAGTGTGCACTCCCACCACGCCACAGCTTTGCTACTTCCAGCGTAACGCGTGATGCAAGACAAGGGGTGTATGTTTAGTTTTTATTCAGGGCAAAGTAATGCACTAGATCTAGTGTGGAGTAGTAATATGTTTGGCTGAAAGTGTGGTTTGAGTTACCTGATAAGTGACGTGTTTTGCTTAATCTATGTTTTGGGTCACTGCATTTTAGAATTTGCCGAGATAATCATGTTCGAGTAGCATCGCAGCAGGTTGAGGGGTTTTTTTTTTTACGATAAGCTACCACTGTACTATTCTAATGTAAATATCTGAGCAACATCAACTTCATCGACCAATGGCCTTAATAAGCCATCACTACCACACATCCCTTTTTAGAGACAGACATTAAGCCTTTCTTGAGATGCGGACAAAGAACGCCTCTACTACAACGTCACTGGAAAGCACAGATTTACGGAGGCAACCACAATGACAGACTCTGAAAATTGAACACCATAGGCGGGCGTCTTCAACCGCCACTACTATAGAAAAACTTTTGCGTAGCATTTGGCTTTGCAGCTCTGAGACGGGCGGGTTGGTTGCCGCCTCCGTTAATCGGTGGGAGGGTCATCGGTCAAGCGCACGCCTCGGTTAATCATTAATAGAGGCGGGCCGCATCAGTTAATCCATGATTAACCGAGGTGGTTACCTTACTACAACCGCCTCCATTAATAGATTTACCGAGGCGGGCACCGTAAGCCAACCGCCTCTGTTAATTCACGATTAACCGAGGCAGTTGCCTTACGACAATAGCCTCTATTAATTGATTAACCAGGCAGGCACCATAATCCAACCACCTCGGTTAATCCATTATTTTCGGAGGCGGTTGTTATAAGTGTCCGCCGTCGTAAATCAATTTACGGAGGCTGACGTCTTAAGTTGTCCGCCTCGGTTAATGGTTGCAACAAAAAATAATTCATAGTTTTTTCATATGAACTCGAATCAAGACAAACTTCATATCAAAATTGGAGCTCTTGACAAGATCTACAAAATTGTAGTTGAAAAGTTTTTGAATTGAAACTATTTAGGATTCCAAAATATTGTTGTAAATACACAAATTTTGAAATTTGAAATTTAAAATTATCAAACAATTTGGGATGTTGACATGGTCTATACAAAAGTCATAGTTCTCAATAGAATCTACAAATTTGTAGTTCAAAAGTTTCTGATTTGAAGATGTTTAGAGTCCCAAATACGTGCTCGAAGGTTATAGATTTTGAAATTTAGAATTTCGAATTCCTAAACAATCTCAAATGTTCACATAGTTAATACCAAAGTTCTAGTGGCTGACCTGATCTACATGTTTGATAGTGACAAATTTTTTATTAAAAGTCAACTAGAGTCTCAAATATGTGTATGAAATTCACATGTTCTGAGACTCAATTTTTTTAATTTTTCAAACTATATCTGATAGATTTTTTCATTTGTGTTCATTTAGTAGCTAAAATATCTAATATAAGATTACGAAATATTGATATCAAAAGATAGCATATTATATATAGAAATGAATGAGTGTGAGGTGCAGTTGTAGAGACATGGTAGTGTTGACCACCAAGTTGTGGGTCCGATTCTCCAAAGTCACAAGTTTTTTTGGATTTCTGTGTTTCTTGGAGAACATTAACGGAAGATGCCCGCCTCGGTTAAGTAACCTCCTCCGTTTATCCGTATTAATTGTGACCTTTGGATAGAGGCGGTTGCAATGCTCGCCTTCGTTAATAAAAAACGCGAGTCGGAAAAGATTTTTGTAGTAGTGCGCCTATGTTGATTGATTAAAAAAATATTGAAAAAATTACAGGTGCAGCTGGGGCCAGTGCTCGCGATGGCTGTTGGGTCGTCACCGATGCCATTTGTAGACCTCTATTGTCGCCAAGGTTGTCATGGATCTGCAGTGGCTGCAAAGCTCGCCAAGCCTGCCATGGACCCATGGTCACTGAGGCCCCTTGGTCGATGGCCGCGAATGGTGCCGCAGAATCCACCATGGCCACCGACCCCACCATGGACTTGCCATGGAGGCCGAGCCCACCAAGTTTGAATCTATAGAGCTCACCTAACATATCTGTCGTATAGAGGAAGAAGATTGAAGGAGGCATTTGGAGTCGGGCGGCTGACAACAAATCAAGCTCGACGAACATGCCTAATGTGGATCCACATTAGACCCACCTCCGCGAGCTCGAGGAAGAGCTCCACCAGGAGGTGGCATTTGGAGTCAAGTGACGGAGCTCGATCGGGTAGATCCGCCATGAACGGGCATGAGCTAGGGCGTTGTCGCCATGGCGGTGCTTGAGTAGGGCGACGGTGGTTCTGGTGGGCAGAGATCTCGGGTTTAGGGATGGTGGTGGTGGACTGGTGGTTGGAGTGAGCCACCAACCAACCCTCCGGCAAGAGGAGATCAGGAGCACACTAGATCTAGAGGAGGAAGAGGGAGAGAGAGAGCACCGTGCAGAGAGTGTGTGCCTGTACAGTGTCCGTTGGGAATGAGGGAGAGAATTTGAACTTAGGCTCAGTGACTTTACGTGGTTCAGGCTTTTATAGAGATGGGTTTCTGCTGGATTAGTCATCCGAATTCCTATTTTCTTTATTCGGACTCCAAATTGGATGATTCATATTTGTTTTTCGATCGTCATGACGAGAGAAACACAAAGTACCAAAACTTGCTTTGCCGTTTTGGGAAACCAACTAAGTTTGTTTCTACTGCAATTTATGTGATCAATCTATTTTGTCTATATTTTTTTTTATCGGTATTTTGTCCATATTTTTCCATCAACATTATCATAGATACAGGTCTTGCAGTATCTGTTTGGATCTTGTGTTACAAAATTATTATACAGAGCTCCAAGTTAAACTTCTAATAATTTTGTCTACTAGAAGTGTATTATTAGTACAGGGCGCATGTGTAGGCCAAGTCACTCAGTCGTATGCCTTGTCTTTCTACACACCATTTCCTCTGCCTCCTTCTACACGCCTTTTCCTTTTCCTCCCCTATGCTCCCCAGCTGCTGCCTTACCTCACCCGGCTTCGGCAGCACCCATGCCACCTTGACCGCCGCCGTTTACACAAGCCTTCTGTTTCAGATCCAACTCCAGAAGTTGATTTATCTGGGAACAAAGATAATATTCAGTTTCATGAGTCGTACCACAATAACACTACAAGGTGAGGTGGCAGTGTGTTAACTACTTGGTATTTAGGAGTTATAACATCGCCATGTAGCAAGAAAAGACTATAATTCGACTATAATGGGACAGCCATGTAGCAAGAAAGAAACAAATTTAGTCATTAGTTCTATCTGTAGCAAGAAAAGACTATAATGGGACAGCCATGTAGCTAAATCCTCCTCCAGACTTGAGTTGAGACCACCAAGCGCACACACAACACCCAATTTCCATCCAAATTCGACAGTTAAAGACTACCAAAGTACCAATCACATTATAAATTTGAAAGATGACCTAAGAACATGCAATAAAATGCTGGTCAATTATCAAAGAGGACTTGGTCCAGGCGGTCATGAGTTTTTACAATCACCGGACTGCGAGATTAAACTTAATTAACGAAGCAAATATCGTCCTGTTGCCCAAAATACAAGATGCAGCATCTCTATCAGATTACAGGCCCATTAGTCTGATCAACAGTGTAGTCAAAATCATCACGAAAATCCTAGCAAATAGATTGGCACCACACTTGAACTCCTTAGTGTCATATGCTCAAAACGCCTTCATCAAGAAGAGATGTATCCATGATAATTTCATTTACGCGCAGAGAGTGATTCAACTGTTGCATAAAAAGAGAAGGTCGGCGTTGTTCATCAAATTGGACATTTCCAAAGCTTTCGACTCCATAGGTTGGAGCTTTCTGCTAGAGGTGCTACAGGCTTTGGGCTTTAGCACAAAATGGAGGGATTGGATAGCGGCCCTACTTGGAACAACAACATCAAAAGTATTGATCAACGGGGAGCCGACCCAGGGTATCAGACATGCACGGGGGTTAAGGCAAGGAGATCCTCTATCACCCCTTTTATTCATTCTAGCCATCGAACCACTACAACGGATAATTGAAGCGGCAGCACAAAGAGGGATCCTTAAACCGGTGCTACCGAAGGCGGCTAATTTGAGGTGCTCCCTATATGCTGACGATGCAGCGATTTTCGCATACCCTGCAAATACAGAGTTGGATCATCTACTAAAGATACTAAACTTCTTTGGAGAATGCTCAGGGCTGAAAATCAACATCTCCAAGACAGAAATTTTCCCTATAAGAGTGGACAACACAGTGATCACTCAATTACTTCAAAATTTCCTCGGCAAGATTTGCAGTTTCCTGGGAGATATCTAGGACTTCCTCTACACGTCCGGAAACTACGCAGGGTAGAGGTACAGCCTTTGATAGACAAAATAGGAGCCAGACTGCCAGGTTGGAAGGGTAGGTTCTTGTCCTCAGCGGGGAGAGAGACTCTTGTAAAAACGGTTCTATCATCTCAACCAATTTATCATATGACCGCATTCCCCGAACAAAAATGGTTAATCAGAAAGATCGATCGCTTGAGAAGGAGTTTCCTATGGAGGGGTGAAACGCCAGACAAGGTATATGGTGGGCATTCCATTATCAACTGGCCAACAACATGTAGACCAAAAGCGAAAGGTGGTTTAGGGGTTCTGGACCTTGAACGTTTCGCAAGAGCATTGAGACTACGATGGTTATGGTATCAATGGAAGCACCGAGATAGAGCTTGGAACAAGCTTGACCTGCCGGTAGATGACCGGGACAAGGAGTTATTTGCGGCTTCGACAGTGGTGACAGCAGGTGATGGCAAGTTGGCCAGATTCTGGACGTCGTCTTGGGTTGGTGGGCGAACACCGAAAGTGATTGCACCAACATTGTTCAAGAAATCAAAAAGGAAAAATCTCACGGTGCAAAAGGCCTTGGAAGATAACCGTTGGATATCACATGTCATTCCATTAGGCACTGCACAGGAAATAAGAGAATACGTAACCCTTTGGGAAGAGGTGAGCCAAATCCAGCTAATAGAGAATACAGAGGACAGCATTTGCTGGCGTTGGACGGTGGATGGGGAATACACAGCCAAAAGCGCCTATTGTATTCAATTCCATGACACATTCAGCAAACTGAAACTTCAACCGATTTGGAAAGCAAAGACGGAACCCAAATGTAGATTTTTTGCGTGGACTTTGCTGCATAAAAAAATCCTAACGGCAAACAATTTGATTAAAAGAAATTGGCCAAATGATCCAGTATGCAAGCTTTGTGGTATTGACCCGGAAACACGGACACATCTTTGCAAGGACTGCACTTTCTCAAGGCAAGTTTGGTCCTTCATCAAGCGATGGTCCAGCGTATCGGTGATTGATACTATCGGAATGACAGGATCCCTGCACAAATACTGCGCGAAAGTGCAGAATTAAGACAGACAAAGATCAGAGAAAGGCGTTTGATGGCATTATGATCTATTTTTGGTGGAATTTTGGAAGGAAAGGAATCGAAGAACATTTCAGAACAAGTCGTTGCAGCCTAGTCAGGTGGCACTCCTTTGCAAGGAAGATATAGAGCAATACAAGTTGGCAACAAGATTTCATGATGGACCACAACAGGAGTAGTTCTAGTATTTGTTGGTCACTGTTCGGTTGGTCTAGTTTTGTGTTTTTTCAGCTTCAGGGTGTTTTTCTAGACTTTAAGTTGTCGTTCAGGTGGGTATTTAGTAGGGTTGTCGGCCGGTGTGCCGTGGTGGCGGTGAGCTTGGTCTCCTGTTGTTTGTTGTAATTCTTTTTTCTTGTTCCTTTTTGCTCGTCTAATAAAAATCCGGCAAATCTCTTGCCGCCTTTCTAAAAAGAATATCACCTTTGAGTTCCCAAAACCAAAAAAAAGAGAGACAAGATGTGCAACCATTGAAGTTTCTGGCTAGGAATGTAGTCTCAAATTGCAAGCCGAGAAGAGATCCAAGAGTCTTCAATAGCCACTAGTGGCTAATATATGAACATTTTTCCAGTGTTCAAAATAATATCCAGATGTGCAAGGCTTTTCAATGATATACTTGAAGCAACTAGATATGAAATTGTAAAAAGAACACAACAATTCATAGCAACGGCTAATCAGTATCCGTTGCATGTGACCAATGAGATATTATGAACACGAAGCTGGATGCCCTATCTCACCACAGATTATAACTACGCTACTCGAATAACCTTGCATAGTATTCAGCAGTTTCTGTTGTTACTTTGTTAGGAACGTATGTGATTTACAAAACTTCAGAACAAAATGGTAAAAGTATCAAATAGATGTTCCAAGTTTTAAGCTCATAAAAGAATATCATTGAAATTGTTTGCCTAGACAATTTTGGCATTGTAGGCTGCACAAAGATGAAGAAGCACACTTTTGTTCACTGGGTCCACATGCCGCTCAATGACAGGACCAAACCTCCCAGGAAACTGGGCAGAAAGTGTGGCCAAGGATGTGACCACAAATTGTTTTGTATCATTTACTTCTTTCAAAAGGTCATCTTCACTGTTTCCAGCATATTGAAGTCGTACAAATGAGACAGAATAACTTGACGTCTTCTGAATATCCACTGCATCGATAGCATCATTTTGCTCTTGTTGTGCCCCATCTTGATTCGCTCTGGACAACAGTGAGACTATACTGTCAAGTAATTTACCCCACGACTGGGCTGCAGCAACATCCAACAGCACCGCAGAATCACAAAGCAATTTTGTCGAAGCAACTGCTGTCAACTTAACTTCAAGAGCTCCTCTGATCAATTGGAGGTTCGGAATCAAAAATCGCTGAAGGATTTGGGTGAAAAGATTTGGCTGAACTGCATCAACAGAACTGACAAGAACACTTGATCCATATTTGACCAGCACTAGTGACATGAAAAGCACAAGAGAGTTTACAAATTTCACTGCTGTCTAGTCTGTAGCCGAGTAAACAAAGCACTCCATATCTCACTTATCTTGATCCATGGCTGCCCTGCACATGTAAGCAACTAGCTTACCAGCACACACACTCACTCACTATGGCTAGAGTTAGAAGAAGATATTGAGAACAGCGCACATACACACTCAGCACCAGCACCAGCGTTGGCCGAAACCCTACCCTTTGGTTTGTGGCAACTAAACTGAGTTTTCTATTGCCCTTTGGATGGAATGTATACAACTCTAGCGGTACCTCTACTAGGTATATAATTTTTGGCTAACTACCTACTCCTGAGTACAAGAGTACACCAACTACCTACTCCTAAGGTACAAGGTACACCAACTACCTACTCCTAAGGTACAGTGTATACCAACTACTCCTAGCAGTACAAAGCTTACCTCAGCATACTACCAAGACATGGCTGATGTAATAGCTACCAAATAATGTACTAGAGATGGCCTATTGCAATACTGCTACAGCTACAGGAAATGGTCGGCAGAGCCGATCAGTCCCAACTCCCAACAGGGAATGGTCGGCCGAGCCGACCAATCTCCGACCAAGGAGAGAATGGAGAGCAGCAGATTATGTCTAACAATTCTTCCCCTAATCCTTCTGCTGGCCCGATGCCTTGACCTCATCCATGCCAATCATCTTCCTCAGCTCCATGAACCGTAGGCGTCCGAGTGACTTGGTGAGTATATCAGCAAGCTGTCTGCGGTCTCGACAAACTCGATGACGATCTGCCCTCCATCAGAGCTTGATGTCGATGTGCTTGCACCGATCATGGAGGACAGGCCAGTCAGCTCGCCCAGCAGCCAGCACAGCCAGACAGCCTGGCACGCCGCCGTGGCCACTACGACGTACTCCGCCTCACACGTCGACAGTGCCATGATCTTTTTCTTCAGCGACTGCCAAGCCATAGGGGGCGCTCCAAAGAAGACGAGCACGTCGGAGGTGCTTCATCACCCATCAATGTCGCCCGCCATGTCCGCATCGCTGAATACAGTGAACTCTGGCTCACCTTCCTTTGCCTTAGAGGGTGCCTCACTAAACACCATGAGCCGCAACCCTCTCTTGCCGCCACTCTTGGGGAAAATGATCGCTTGATCGAGTGTCCCCTTGATGTAGCGCAGCAACCTTTTCACTGCCGACCAGTGATCTTCGCGCGGGTCCTCCATGAAATGGTTGACGTACCCAACTACGAACGCAATGTCCGGTCGGGTATGAGTGAGGTAGCGCAGCCCACCGACGATACTCTGGTAGCGCATCGCGTCCACCTTCGTAGCAGTGTTGTGCTTGCTCAGCTTCAGCCGCTCCTCCATCGGAGTCGCGCACGGCTTGCACTCTGCCATGCCGCCGCGCTCCAGCAACTTCTCCACATAGGTGCGCTGACCCATGGAGATGCTCTGCTTCCCCTGCTTCACCTCGATGCCGAGGTAGTAGGAGAGCGCGCCGAGATCGCTCATCTTGAAACGAGCAACCATCTCATGCTTGAAACCATCGATGTCCTCTACTCGTGCTCCGGTGATGATTAAGTCATCCACGTACATGCCGACGATGACCTCCTCCTTCCCCGTTGCCGCATGTAGAGCGTGTGCTCTGTAGCGCAGCGAGTGAACCCAAGCTTGCCCAAGGTCGAGCTTGGCGTTCCACGCTCGAGGGGCTGCCGCAGCTCGTAGAGCACCTTGCGCAGCTTGAGCACCATGTGCTCAGTGCCCTTGACGTCAAAGCTCGGAGCTTGCTTGACGAAGACCGTCTCCATGAGCTCGCCATTGAGGAACGTAGAGTTGACGTTGAGGTGGTGGACATGCCAATCCTTCACTGCTACCATGGCCAACACAAGCGAATAGACTCCATTCACGCCACCAGAGCAAAGACTTCCTCGAAGTCGATGCCCTCACGCTGCACAAAGCCTTATACTTGACAATGGTGCCGCACTCGTCCCGCTTCACGTTGTAGACCCACTTCAAGCCGATCGGCCTACAGCCCACAGGTGGATCTACCAGCTCCCATGTGTCATTGTACTTGATGGCCTTCATCTCTTCCAACATTGCCCATCGCCAATTGACGTCGCGTTCAGCCACTGTGAACATCGGTGGCTCCTCGACACTAACAAGGAGCAACTTTGGATCGTCGAGCAGCCGACTCGCCAGGCCTATGGCCCCTACACTACCGACGATGTTGTCCAACCTACGGAAACGGACCTCCTCGCCATCGTGGAAGGCATCCACGAACTCGCAGATGTCGCTCGGAGGGGAGGTGAACTCGATCGGTGGTCCTCGGCTACCATGTTCTGTCAGAGTGGTCGGCATCGCTGCTGGACCGCTTGGCACCATTGCCAGAGTGGTCGGATCCACTGCTGGAGCGGTCGGCACCACTCCTGGAGTGGTCGACACCACTACTGGAGCACTCAGCACTACTGCTGAAGTGCTCGGCACCCCCTCTGTAGTGCTCGGCACTCCTCATGGAGTGCTCGGCACTGCCCCAGGAGTGCTCAGTTCTATTGCTGGAGTGGTTGGCACCTCCTCTCCAGCGTCTCCACCACTGTGGATGACCATGCTCTCGACGATGAAGGTGCTGGTGAAGCCACCAGCTTCCCCCGTGCCCGGACTGACCTAGTCCCCCGCCTTCTCATCGAACACAATATCCCTATAGATCACCACGTTGCCTCTCTTGGGATCATAAAGCCGATAGGCCTTGCTGCCCTCCTCATAGCCCAGGAGCACCATCGGCGTGCTCCTGTCTTCTAGCGTGCCGAGGTGAGGCTTGGTGTTCTTCACATGGCCGATGCAACCAAATGTCTTGAGGACACATTTGGCTTGCATCCATGCCAAGCCTCGAACGGCGTCTTCCCCTTTAGGGCCTTGGTGGGCGCGTGGTTGAGGATAAACACCGCCTCTCCCCAGAACTCTGATGGCATCTTCTTAGCCTTCATCATGGATCGAGCCATACCAACCACCATCTGGTTCCGCCGCTCCACCACGCCATTCTGTTGTGGCTAGTACGGCGCGGTGTGCTATCGCACCATACCCTAATCCGCGCAGTATGCAGCGAATTCCATCGAAGTGAATTCATCGCCGCGATCAGTCTGCGGCACGCGCAGCTTCTTGCCGCTCTTTGCCGCCGCGCGAGTCTTGAACTTCTTGACCGCTTCAGCCGCCTCGGTCTTGCTGGTCAGAAGCTGCAACCACATATACTGTCTATAGTCATCCACTAGCAAGATGAAGTACTTGAGCCCGCCGGGCGTCGCCGTCGTAATCGGCTCATAGAGGTCACCATGGACCAGCTCAAGGCTCTCTATCGCGCGGTACTTCGCCATCTTCGGGAACGGTAGCCTTCTTTGCTTCCCGGCTAGGTAGCTATCACATAGCTCGCCTACGTGCTCGATGTGAGGCAGCCCAGTCACCATCTTCTCCAGCCGACCAAGAGGGTCGAAGCTGAGATGTCCATACTAGGCATGCCACTACCACAGCTCCTCTATGCGCCGTGTAGCCAAGCAGATGGGCTGCTCCACCTTGAGGTCGAGCAGGTACAGCCGATTCTAGGACCTCTACACCTTGGCAAGAAGCCGCTACTCCCGGTCCATGATCCTAAGGATGCCGTCCTTGATCAGTACCTCACTATCGCGCTCATCTAGCTAGCCAATGCTGATGATGCTTGAACGCAGCTGCGGGATATAATATACATCCGTTAGCATGTGGTGCTCGCCATTCTGGCACCTGAAGATGATGGTGCCACACCCTCAGATCGCCACCCTTGAGCCATCACCGAACTTCACCGTGCTGGTCACGTCATCGTCGAGCTTGAAGAAGGTTGCCTTGGAGCCCGTCATGTGGTTGTTGGCGATGGAGTCCAGGTACCACCACTGGTCCTGCTCGCCGCCCACACGTTCGAGGTGGACTTGGGTGCGCGGTTCGCCGAGGTTGACAGCCTTCAGAGCCTTCCCAGGCCCCTCCACCGCCATCACCTCTCCCTTCTCCTTGGCCTCAATGTCGTGTAGTGCCTAGAACGTCGCCATAAGGAGAGTGGCCTCATCATCATCATCAGCCTACGCTAGATGAGCCTCAGCCTTCTTCTCCTGCTTGCGATTTGGGCACTCCTTTGTCCAATGGCCCATCTTCCCGCAGCGCCGATAGGAGTTGGGGTCGACCTTCTTCTTCTTCTTCTTCTCCAAAGAAGCCTTGCCGCGGCGCTTTCCATCGCCACCGCAGCTGGAGGAGGCTTCCCCGGACTTGTTCTCCTTCATCCGGGCAGCCCACTCCTCCTCTATCAGCAGCAGCTTGCCGATGTCCGTCGTTGTTGTGGCCTACTCCATGCGCTCATCCACCGCCCGCAGACGGCCTGTCACATCCTCAATGGTGAGGGTGGACAAGTCCAGCATCGTCTCTATGGAGAGAGCAATCTGGATGTACTTCATCAGCATGGAGTTGAGATACTTGGAGACCGCCTCTTCTTCATTGATGGTGACACCGTGGCTCCTCAGCTTGCTGATGAGCATTTGCATGCGGAGGGAGAAATTCTCCACCGCCTCACCATCCTTGAACTTGAGGTTGGCGTACTCCTACTTCAGCAGCTGGGCCATCGCCTTCTTTGCACGGTCGGAACCGACACGTATCGCCGCAATGGCCTCCCATGTCTCCTTAGCAGAGCTCTTCGCCCCCAACGGCTCCCTGTACTCCACTGGCACAGCAGCGAGGATGGCTTCCAATGCTGACATGTCATCTTCTTCGTTGTCGATGCCCTTGTCAATGGTATTCCAGAGCTATCGGGCTCTGAGCTTGACCTTCATGGTCACCACCCATTCGCCATAGTTGGTGCGAGTCAGCGTCGGCCAACTAGTGCCGTTAACCTCCCGCACCGTGCGCACAACGACTTTCTATCGTGGCTGGGCAGCCATAGCAGCATCGCTATTGTCGCCCATCTCTAAATCGTCCGTCATCGCCAGCGGTTAGTCCGGCGACGTCGCTTGTACAGCTCCGATACCACTTGTTGATCCCTGGCTGCCCTGCATAGGTAAGCAACTAGCTTACCAGCACACACACTCATAACTATGGCTAGAGGTAGAAGAAGAGAATGAGAACAGCGCACACACATACTCAGCACAAGCACCAGCGTTGGCCGAAGCCCTGCCCTTTGGTTTGTGGCAACTGAACTGAGTTTTCCATTGCTCTTTGGGTGGAATATATACAACTCTAGTTGTACCTCTACCAGGTACATAGTTGTTGGCCAACTACCTACTCCTGAGTACAAGAGTAGGTACAGGGTACACCAACTACCTACTCCTAAGGTACAGGGTACACCAACTACCTACTCCTAAGGTATAGTGTATACCAACTACTCCTAGCAGTACAAAGCTTACCTCAGCCACTACCGAGACATGACTGATGTAATAGCTACCAATTAATGTACTAGAGGTGGCCTATTGCAATACTGCTATAGCTACAGGAACTGATTGGCAGAGCCGATCAGTCCCAACTCCCAATAAAGAGTGGTCGGCCGAGCCGACCAGTCTCCAACTAAGGAGAGAATAGAGAGCAGCAGATTATGTTTAACAACTTATATATGGGTTCAGAATGTCAAAACCAACATTTTCCACTATTGTGTTCAGCATGTAGAATGCATAATCTTCAGTGCGGCTGCTTGAGAGGAGACTACGAGATATTGCCAAGATATGCGGAAGCCTGCCCTCTTGGTTTAGCTCATTTGGAATTTTCCTAAGGAATGCTCGCAGCAAGCGAACCAAGGCTGGAACACATGGTGGCCGGTCCCAAGTGGCATTACTGAGAAGGGCACCAAATAGCTGCATGTAATTCTGCGAGAGAGGTGGTCGGCTCAAAATAACGAGTTGTGCAAATATCTGAAAAGCATAGGGCCAGAACTCTGAGATGTCCTCAATCAATATCCTCTGGAGCACTGGGAAGAGGCCGGCCTCAAAAGCAGGGAGTAGTGCTGGGTCCTGCTCAACAGTCCGGCCAATAACTGCTGCCAGAGGCTTTAACAAGTAGTGGTTGAAGTCAGGGTTTTTGGGGTTAGACTGTCTCCAACAGAGCACACTTCCACGAGAATACCCACAAGTCGAGGAGTGATCTCATGAACAATTTGACCAGCTATATTAGCAATCCCAAGCACCCACATCAGGCAGTTCATCAGGTAGGGGTTCTCATAAGAATCAAGGAAACCTAGTGCTGTGGACAGGTTCTGAATGATCTGTGGAGCAAATGGATTGATATCAGCAGCAACATATCGTGGAGACCTGGAGTTGCAAAATGAAGGAGTACATAGATTAGGATAAAATGTAAGTCAGCATTTTTATTTCCTATTTATTTGAACAGTGACATAGCATGAAAGTAAAATGGCAGCACATAAACATATACTACCGGAAACAGTGAAAATGCCGAGTGCTTTACGTTTGCCGAATGTATTATATCGGGCACTCGGCAAACGTCATCTTTGCCGAGTGTTCCCTCAGAGACACTCGGCATACGATTACACTCGGCATATTTATGATTTACCGAGTGTCAACACTCGGCAACCATCAGACACTCGGCATATTTAATATTTACCGAGTGTCAACACTCGGCCTCTATGGGACACTCAGCAATAACCAACACGTGACCCGCGCGTGCGCCGTCCTACCGGACGGCGTGCCGGCCGTTAGGATTTCGCCGAGTGTCCGTTAGAGGCACCCGGCGAAGTACGGATTTGCCGAGTGTTTTATGCCGGCACTCGGCGAAGTATATGGGTTTGCCGAGTGTTTATGGAGACATCCGGAGTGTCCGTTAGAGGCACTCGGCGAAGTACGGATTTGCCGAGTGTTTTATGCCGGCACTCGGCGAAGTATATGGGTTCGTCGAGTTGTCTTTCACTAAGACATCCAGTCTCTACATTACGTAGCAGCTGAGAAATGCCATCGTTATCCTCGGTGTCGTCAGCTAGCGTGTTCCTAAACACATTATTAACTGTGGCCATATGTTCCGTGTTGATACCGGGTTCCTCGTCAGCATCGTGGATGGCTACGTCAGGCATGTCCACATCATCATTGTTTTCCTGCAGAATATTCACACCAACCTCGCCATGCATAGTCCATATCGTATAGTTTGGCATGAACCCCCTGGTAATCAAGTGCGATCGTATAGACTCAATTTGACGAAAGTTCCTATGATTCTTGCAAACTTTGCATGGACAGAAGACAGGGTTCCCATTCCCAGCATGGACTTTGGCATCGGTGATAAACTGGCTGACGCCATGCATGTACCGCTTGTCCATTCGGGATAGATGCATCCACTCTCGATCCATCTCTGCACAAAAAAATACTGAGACAGTAATTATAAAGAATTAATAAGAAATCGAGCTTCATGAACAACAATTGTAGCTCGAAAGTACCATTTTTGGAAAACATTATTGTACACTAATTATTGAAAAATTAAAATTGATAGCCCCAGCCCTGTAAACTGAAAATCGTAGTAAAAAACAATTATTGCACAATATTGAAGAACAATTATTCTACTCTACTTCTAAGAACTAATTATAGCATCACATACTAACAATGATGATCTTGACCACCATGGAATAATTAGCTAGGAATTTAGATGTGTTCATAGACACCAACCTTTTGGATGATGGATTCACCATAATTTGAGCCTTGCACAAATGTCCAATTGAAAAAGTGCTCTCTAGAATGGAGAAAGAACTAGAATGAGAATCAAGCAATGTAGCCATAAAAACGGAGCTAATTAAGCAACAAAATCAAAGGAGTGGATGTTTGTTACTAACCTTAAAGCAAAAAGATCAAGCCATTCTTCAAAATTCAAGCACTAGCTTCATGGTGAAGAGTAGCCGCAGCAATGGAGGGAAGGGTCCAAAAGCGCGCCTCTGATCTCGGGATGGAATAGAGGAGGAAGGAGAGGACGGCTGCAGCCTTTTGTGTTGTAGGCTTATCACCGTCGGTTCTTGGCTAGAACCGACAGTGATAGAGCACAATCACTGTTGGATCTGGGCTTAAACCGGCAGTGATGAGTGACCGCCAAAACACTGCCGGTTCAAACCACAAACCGGTAGTGATGTGGTTCTTCACTGTAGGTTTTAGCCCAGCCCCAATCATTTTTTCATTTTCAAGCTCATAACCGGCAGTGAAGGTACATCACTGCCGGTTCTCACAAATCCGGCAATGATGATGTCGGCGTAGTGAAACCTCTGAACATAAGCAACAATATGGGAGCATCTGCCCTCGAGAAAACGGAAAACAAAAAATTGAGCACATATGAAGATTAGATAGAGACGGGCCTATTTTAGAAACAAAACGCAAGGAAAAAGGTTAGATTTAACTCTATTAAGACTGGTTTGAATCAGTCGAACCAAAACCCTCCAGTGTCCAAACCTAAGACCATATGCTTGCATGTGCGTGCGTTTTGTTGTACACGGCAACAACCTGGCAAGATATGGTGACCACAAGATATAGTTTGCTGTAGATAGATATGCTTTGTAGCCATCATCTTGTGGCCATCCAACAGGTTTTTTTTTTTTTTTGATGATGATGAAGCGCTTTTCCCAAATGTGGAGATCGTCAATCACGTGGTTGATGATCTGAGCTGCTGATGGCCGTTCACCTCTGAAGACTTCGGCATTCCTCGCGTCCCACAGGCGCCAGAGGATTGTGAGAAGGACAAACGTGGCCATCCGGATGTCGGTCATATATCTAATGCCACAGATGGGGCTTTTCCATCTATTCTAATCAACACGCATACACCGAGGCTCCGAGCTAGGACCCGGTGCTCTTCTCGAGCCTCTGATAGGTTTTATATGGTCATCAGAGCCATTGCCAAGATTAGATCCTATCTCTAGCCAACACTGTCGCCATGGCATGCTCCTCATCGGCGGTGCGAAATCCACTCTCCGTCCAAACAATTTCGGAGAAACTGGGCAAGCTTAATCATGCCCTCTAGAAGGCCCAGGTCAGGGCGGTTGTACGCGGTGCCCGTCTTCAAGGGCACCTCACCGACGACTCCAAGGCTCCACCAGAGAAGGTAGTCGCCACTGTCGACGACAAGGAAGTCAAGAGGCCAAACCCGGCCTGTGAAGGATGGGAGGCAGCGGACCAACAAGTTCTTAGCTACCTCCTCTCATCGCTATCCAAGGAAGTGATGACACAGGTCCCGACATGCGACACTGCAACAACGGCATGGACAGAGATCAAGAACATGTTTGCATCGCAAACCCGCACGCGTGCCGTGAATTTGCGGCGGCGGCTGCTGTGGCTGTGGCGGCTGTGGCGGCGGCTGCGGCGGCCGCACGGCAGGCCCGATCGGGAGCTGGGGTCGTCTTCGAGGGTGGCGGCGGCGACTACCAGGACCGCGCGGCGGATCTACCTTCTCCGGCGTCGGCACAAGGCCGAGACGGGTGAGCGGGGTGGGTTAAGGTGGGTGAGGAGAGGGAGGGTGGACGCCGATGCCGAGGTATATTTGCTAGGTACATATAGAAGCATCAAGGTACATTCTGCTTCATACGGAGTCTTCAAAATGTGCCGTGACAAATCAAAAGAATATACGCTCTCAAAGCACCGTACATTCAAGAAGCAGTGTCCTCGCGTGCTCCCAATGCAATTCCCAACACAGCACGTCGATCCTTGTGCCGCCGCTCGCATGCATGCACGGCGCCGCACGCCGGCAAGCCAAACGCGTCTCCTCGGCAGGCGGGCGGGCATGCCGCGACCTCTCGAGTCCGCGACGGCTCGTGTAGCGCGGCCCGGGATCTTGCTGCAAGCCTACAAAAGGCACACGCCATTTCACACCGTGACTGACCACCAAACTGACGCGTTCTTCTGCATCCATCCATCTCCCTTTCGCCATTGCACATCCGCCGGCTACGCCGCTCGTATGGACACCACCACCCCATCATCCTCATGCGCCACGGCCGTCGCCACCGAGACCGTGGTCGGGTCGCACGTGCTGACGATAGACGGGTACACCAAGACCACGTCAGCACTCGCCGTCGGCGAGAGCATCCAATCCGACACGTTCCGCGTCGGGGGCCATAGCTGGTACATCGAGTGCTACCCGTGCGGCCAAGACGAGGAGGGCGCCGACTGGGTGTCCGTCTTCCTCTGCCTCGGTCACCATGGCGCCAGCCATGAAGTGAAGGCGAGTCACAGGTTCATCCTACTCGATCGTGCCGGAGAGGCAGTTCTGTCTGCTAGATCGAGGCACCTACAGACCTTCTCGAGCAACGATGGCCCATGGGGCATTGCTGAGTTCATCCAGCGGAAGCCGTTGGAGTCTTACCTGCTCATCCAGGACGACGACTGCTGCCGTATCAGGTGTGACGTCACAGTCATCAGGGAACCTCCCGCGGTTCCACCGCTCCCGGACCTGCACCGGAGGCATCTCGGCGACCTCCTGCTGGCTAGCGAGGTCGGAAGGGACGTGACGTGTTTGTGGTCGGCGGCGAGCAGTTCACGGCGCACAGGTGCGTGCTCGCCGCCCGGTCGTCCACGGTGTTCATGGCGGAGGTCCTTGGCACAGGGAAGGAGAGCACCAACGAGGTCCATGGCACAGGGAAGGAGATCGCCGTCGGCGGCGGCTCTCGTCACGTGCGGGTCGACGGCATGGCGCCGAGGGTGTTCAAGGCACTGCTCCGCTTCATCTACACCGACTCTCTTTCTGACGAGTTAGCGGACCACGGTGACAGGATCGCCATCGCTCGTGGTCTGCTGGTGGTGGCAGATCGGTATGGCATGGAGAGGCTAAAGTTGATCTGCGGCGACATGCTGTGCAGCTACATCGATGCAACCACCGCTGTGGATACACTGCAGCTGGCTCACAAGCATGGCTGTCTCAAACTCAACCAGGCATGCGTCAAGTTCATTAGCGGGATGTTAGATGCCTTCAACCTGGAAGAGACAAAATAACATCCCTATTTACATTCCGGCCTAGTTACATTTGACAGTTCATTGTCAACGCTTTATGTAGTGCTATATAGCATGCACCTGCTTGCATCAGTTATTAAATTTGGAAGCTACAAATTTGGAGATGGACTCGAGCTCGAGGCATTCCTTAGTGAACTGCATTCCTGCAATTGATCAATGATATGTTCCAATGTTCGATTTTGTATTTTTGTCCTAGAATGTAGGAATTGATTCTGATGTTCCCATGGTCGTAAGTGCAAGCTACAAATATCATTCTGATTTTCTGGCATCTCAGATGAGCATTTTCTAAGACTGGTAAAGCACTTCATCAAGGCATGCCAGAGTCCTCTAGTTTAAATGATTTGAATAAGCAAGGTTCAGAGTGCACAGATCAAGCGATTTCTCTGCACCCAGAAGTATGTAATTCAGTTTGATATGCTCAAAACTAATACACCTCAATTTACATGAATCAATCAGGTATTCAGGCTCCACCCTCTACAAAATCCACTGGCAGTCAAGTTACAACCCAGGCATTAGCACAAGAAATTGTATCAGAACATGTGCTGATTGGGATTTCAGGTGTGACAACCAAAACTGTTACACACTAAAAACTCAAAACATGGGACATCAAGGTACATTCTGCTTCGCTGTAGCAATGTGCTATAGAAGATCAAAAGCTTTCAAGCTCAAGGGCCCTGCAGTTGGTTATTAAATCTCTGGGCACGAGCAATAATATGGGTCCAGAAAAACAGAAAACACAGAAGTTAGCACAAATGGTGATTAGAGAGAGCCAGGTATCTTTTAGAAAACAAGATGCAACAAAAAAGCTAAATTACCTCTGTTAAGACTGGTTTGAATCAATTGGACCAAAGCCCTCCAGCGGCCAAACCTAAGATCGAACAGTCACTGTCAATACTCCCATTTGCGGCAACAATGTTCTAAGGTGCGCTAAGGACTATGGAAACATGCTAACAGAATCTTAAGCCTTAGATTTCACTCCACAAACATCAACAGGTAGCAAGTTGAAATAGGTAAATCTCCATTCCAACATCAATATCAAGCACATTAAATTTTAAAATCTATATGTTGATATCCAGAGTGCAAACATTATTAACCCTAAGACAGCAGCAGCTAGGCATATCAATATCAGCCAAATGAATAATTCTTCCAGTTCAAATGATACCATGTTTTCACTGGCATTTGGGACCCATGATGCCCGGTTTTGTCTTGTTTTCTAGAGACCGAGCTGAACCTAGCAGGACAATATTTACCCTCTAGTATATGCCAGCAAAATGTATTGCCCCAAATTATGATTATTGTTATAAGACAAAATTGATAGTTATCCAGGATTTTGAAATGGAAACATGTGCTCATAAGATACTGAAGCACTTCAACTATACTTTACAAAACTTAACATCAATATAACCATGCACACAGCAGCAGAGTAAAGGTGCGACTTTGTCCTTTTCTGCAAATTTAACAATTGCTAGTTGCTTGTGTCCCAACTTATGGAGCCATGCATAAAGCAAAATATTGGCTCCAGAGATTGCACCAGCCTCCTAAATTAAATTAACAAATATGCAAAACAAATAGCTGAGCTTACCCGGCAAAAGATCTTCCCTGTAATGAGACCATAAGGCACGGCTCCAAATTGCCTTGAATCCCTAGAAGCATAAACATTATCGCCCTGCACCCAAACATGACCTTGTGGTACCTATAATTATACAATCGCCCAAGTTAAGGGCATGAGTGACCGTACAATTTTGAAACTAAATAATGACAAGGGATATAAATAAAAAAAATACAAAACTCAAGAAAGCATAGAACTCATCAGGCCCCAACATTACACGTGGAACCCACTAAATCAGTAATGAATGCGAACATAACCAATTTCCTGAATTTAAAGACATGAACATCATGTTGCCAGTCTATGGAAAGCAAACCTAAATAAGCCAATTTTTTGTGCTATTGATATCTCTAAGTTCAAACACAACTGTAGAAGTTGCACCTTCTAGTGGGGTAAATATACTGATGGTAGCACAGTGCAAGGTTTTACCAGCACTTAGTTCTAATTCATCGAGAATCTAATTATATCAGTAGTAATTAATTTTAGGTTGGTAACACCATATCTCATACTGAACCAACACCACCAGTGGTTCAAAAATCATATAATCAAAGATCAAGCACAATTTTGAAGCGGAGCTCATAGAAACGCTTCCCTAACTTTGGTGCCTAGAGTCTAAAATAGGTAGCAATTACCAAAAACACAGGTCTTCTACGCATCTTAATTCGAAGCAAGTAAAATGTACTAGCAAATACTAAACCTGTCTTCAAAAAATAACGATGCGGAGAAGCACAACAAATAATAAATAATCACTAATCAAAAGCTACTGTCAACAATAGTATGCCAAGCACTTGAATTTAAAGCCCCCTGACAGAACTCCGATTAGAGAGAGGAGGAACACACGCGACACAGTGGACACAATGCTTGCGCTGCAAAGCGGCAGCTTTTCTGTCGATCTTTCATTTCTATATAAGCAAAATTACAAGTCAAATAAGGATACAAATGCCTGAGGCAATCACGGCATGTTCGTGCACAATTGCTGCCATCCCAACAATCTGGGACATGCCATTCTTAGCTCAGCCCGCTAATCTACCTTCTACTTGCTAAATCAGGAAGCTCAGGACTTATTCAAACATTCTCCTCCTAAGTCCTAGAGCAACTAGACTAAGTCTTTCATGCCGATCTTGCCACGAAGTTCCTGAAACCGAACGCGCCCGAGAGCTTTTGTCAGAATGTCACCCAGCTGCAGTTCAGTACCAACGAACTCGACGTCGATCAGCTTCCTATCGCAGCACTCCCGGATGAAGTGGAATTTCACATCAATATGCTTACTCCGGTCATGATGCACAGGGTTCTTCATCAGAGAGATGGCGGACTTATTGTCCACCTTGAGCTTTGGCGCGTGGACTGCTCCTCCGACGAGTTCAGCCAGCAAGCGTGCCAGCCAAACAGCCTCGCACGCAGCTCCAGCAGCCGCGATATACTCTGCTTCACATGAAGATAGCGCGACCACCTTTTGCTTGGCTGATTGCCAAGCAACCGGACCACCTGCAAGGAAGAAGATGAGGCCGCTGGTGCTCTTCCGATCATTGATATCTCCGGCAAGATCACTATCAGAATAGCCCACCAGCTTGGGGACTCCTTCAGTTCTTCTTCCTGGACAGTAATGCAGTCCCCAATGCACTGTCCCTGCTATATAGCGAAGCACCCTCTTGACAGCAGCAAGATGTTCTTCACGCGGTGCTTCCATGAATCGACTCAGGTACCCAACTGCATAGGCCAAGTCGGGTCTGGAGTTGCAGAGATACCTGAGACTGCCAATGAGACTGCGGTACTCAGTGGCATCAACACTTGAAGTCGTCCCCTCCTTCAGCAGCTTTAGCTTCATCTCCATGGGAGTGGCGCTTGGCTTGCAAGCACCCAGCCCCGCCTTCTCAAGAATTTTGGTGGCGTAGGCTCCTTGCCGAAGGGTGATGCCGCTCACTCCCTGCGTGACTTCCAGACCGAGGTAGTATGAGAGGAGCCCGAGATCGCTCATGCGGAAGGTGCTCATCATCTCGGCTTTGAACTTGCTCACCACGCCTGCCTTGCCTCCTGTGATGATTAGATCATCGACATACACGCCCACGATCAGGCGTGCTGCTCCTTCTCCACGGGTGTACATCCCATGCTCGTTGGTGCAGCGTGTGAAGCCATGTGCCAGCAGCGAGGCGTCGAGCTTCTGATTCCAAGCCCGTGGAGCCAGCCGGAGTCCGTACAGCGCCTTGTGTAGACGCAACACCTTGTGCTGGTATTTGCCGTCGACGAATCCCGGCGGCTGTTGGACATATACCTCCTCCTGGAGGTCCCCGTTCAAGAACGCCGACTTGACGTCCATGTGGTGAACGCTCCAGCTGTAGTGCGCTGCAATGGCGAGAAGCAGCCGCACTGATTCCAGCCGAGCAACCGGAGCGAACACCTCTTCAAAGTCGATGCCGGGGCGCTGCACATATCCCTTGGCGACGAGGCGGGCCTTGTACTTGGCGACGTTCCCGTTCTCGTCGCGCTTCACCTTATACACCCATTTGAGGCCGATGGCGCGGTGACCACGCGGGAGATCCACCAGGGACCAGGTTCTGTTCTCCCGGATGGAAGTCATCTCCTCCATCGCTGCAATCCAATTTGGATCGCCTTCGGCCTCCTTCAGCGACCGCGGCTCCTCCACGCTGACTGAATGCAGTTCAGCCTCCACGGTGTCCCGGTCCGCCAGGCCTGGAACGGCTCCAGAGCCGAGGATGTTGTCCAGCCTACGGTACCGGTGCGCCATGTCCTCGTCATCATCCGCGTCAAGGTTGGGGTCGTCGCTGAGCGGCGTGGCGAACTCGACCTGCGTCCCCATGGGAGCGATCCGAGTTCGTGGCAGCGACGTAGCAGGTGTGGCTGTCACGGCAGCCGCAGGTGACTCCGGAGCGGTGGGCGGTGTCACGGGCTCCCCTGACGTCGTGACCGTCGACGGTGCGCCAGAGACGCGACGTGGGAGCTCGTACTCCTGCTCGACGGTGAAGGGCTCCTGCTCGAGGTCGGTGGAGGTGCTCCCCCACTCCCAGCGCGCGCTCTCGTCGAAGATCACGTCGCGCGAGACGTGGACGCGCTCCGTAGCGGGGTCATAGAAGCGATATGCTTTTGACCCGCTCTGGTAGCCGATGAAGACGACCTTCTGGCCGCGGTCGTCGAGCTTGGCAGTGTGCGGGCGCAGTCGTTTGATGTAGGCGACGCAGCCGAACACCCTCAGAAAGTGCACGGGCGGTTTCTTCCCGTACCATGCCTGGTAAGGGGTCTTGCCTTCGAGCGCGGCCGTCGGTGCCCGATTGAGGAGATACACGGCAATGTGAACCGCCTCCCCCCAGAAGTGTCCGGGCACACCGCGTGCACGCAGGATGCTCCTCGCCGTGCCCACGATCATCTGATTGCGGCGTTCTACAACGCCGTTCTGCTGCGGCGAGTAGGGAGCCGAGAAATGGCGCTGCACTCCTTCACCTGCACAATACTCAGCGAATTCGACCGAGGTAAATTCACCTCCATTGTCAGTTCGCAGGACCTTGAGCTTCTTGCCCGTCTCTCGCTCGACACGGGCCTGGAACTCCATGATGGCCGCCGATGCGTCCGCCTTTTGTGCTTGAGAAGAGTGAGCCACATATAGCGGCTCATGTCATCCCACAGCCAGCAGGAAGTAGGCGTTCCCGGTGGTGTTTGCGGTGTGATCGCCCCACAGATCACCGTGGACGAAGTTCGAGCTGGTCCTCCGCCTCACGAACTTCGCACCCTCACGGAATGAGGTGCACTTCGCCGCGCCAAGACACAATCTTCGCAGACTTGATTGACGTGATCAATCACCGGCGATCCGCAAGACAAGGTCGTCGCGACCCGGCTTCTCTCAACTTTGAAATTGAGATGCCCATACCTCTCATGCCGGCCGCTTAAGCGACGTCCACCGGCTCGGGCGGTGAGGCGACCCGGCGCCACGACGTTCATGTCGAGGTAGTACAGTCGACTCGCAGAGCGTTGTACCTTGGCGAGGAGGTGTCGCTGCAGGTCGTAGAGGCGCAGAACCTCGGACTCAATGTCCACCTTGAAGCCATCCTCATCCATCTGCCCGAGGCTGAAAATATTGGTGGTGAGGCGAGGGATGTAGTACACCCCGTCGAGACGACGGTGTTCCCCGTTCTTCAGGGCGAACAGAACGGTGCCTTTTCCTTCGATGGCGACCACAGATCCGTCACCGAACTTTACGCTCCTAAGCAACACTAGTGTTCAAATTTCGGCGAAGACGGACCGCGAACCCGTCATGTGGTTCGTCGGCGTGTCGAGCACTCCCGGTCGAGGCCCGGCCTCTTTCTCCTCCTCACCGAGATGAAGGAGAACCTTCCGTTCGACGAGGTGAACGCGAGCTGCGGAACATCATGTGGTGGCGACGGGATGAGAGCACGAGTCTGCGACGCGCGATACCTCAAAGTGTCGCGGCGACGCGTATGAGAGAGCCCCTTCTTCCTCTTCGGCTTCGCGACATGTGCGCGCCTCTTCTTCTTCTCCCATGGCGGTCCTTGGCCCAATGGCCACCCTTGCCCACGATTGTGGCAAAGAGTGCCGGCGGTGGCTTCCGGCCACGGCGGCGTTCGCCATCGCGGCCACGCTGACGAAGATCTGCGCCGCCACGATCCGCGTTCGCGCCTCGGCGCTTCCGCGATTCTTTGGTGCCGGCGCCGCCACGAGCTCTCTGCTTTCATGGGCGCTTTCTGCGTCGGGCCTCCCGGTCTTCTTCACAGAGCATCAGCGCCCATGGCGTCCGTGACCTCCTTGGGCTTTCTGCGATCCTCGAACACGCGCAGCCGACCGATGACCTCCTCGATTGATACCTGATTCAGATTGAGGAACATCTCGAGGGAGACGGCGGCTTGATTCAGCCTGTCCGGGACCACCTGCAGCAGCTTCTTAACCACCTCGGCGTCGGTGATGTTGTCGCCGAGGGAGCGGAGGTTGGTGGCGAGCGCAGTGATCCGGAGGCCGAACTCGGTGACGGTCTCCCCTTCCTTGAAGGAGATGTTGCCGAGCTCGCGTCGAAGCTGCTGCGCGCTGGCGTCGCGCGCACGTTCGTCGCCGATCCATAGGATCTTGACCGTGTCCCACACCTCCTTGGCGGTCTTCTTCGTGGCCAGGGTGCTCCACAACTCGGAGGGTACCGAGCGCAAGAGGCCCGCCATCGCCTGACGGTCGTCGTGGTACTCTTCTTCATCGGGGTCTACGGAGATGCCGTCGTGGACGACGTCCCAGACGCGGAGGGTCTAGAAATTCACCTCCATGACCAAGGCCCATTCCGGATAATTTGTCCGGGTCAGCATTGGCCATGCGACGTTCGCTGACGGCCGCTCGATGACGCGCTCTACAACGCGCGATCCGGCGTCCCGGTTGCGCGAGGAGCGGTTGTGGGAGCGGCCACGACGACGTGGCGGCGAACGCGACGGCGGGACCTTCTTCTCGCCGGTGCCATCACTAGTCTCAGCCTTGATTGGCGACTTTGATGACATGGCAACGGCGAGACTTGGCTCTGATGCCAATTGACAGAACTCCGATTAGAGAGAGGAGGAACACACGCGACACAGTGGACACAATGCTTGTGCTGCAAAGCGGCAGCTTTTCTGTCGATCTTTCATTTCTATATAAGCAAAATTACAAGTCAAATAAGGATACAAATGCCTGAGGCAATCACGGCATGTTCGTGCACAATTGCTGCCATCCCAACAATCTGGGACATGCCATTCTTAGCTCAGCCCGCTAATCTACCTTCTACTTGCTAAATCAGGAAGCTCAGGACTTATTCAAACACCCCCGTCCTCTAGCGTCAGTGCATTACGCCCCAACGACCAAATTGGGATCTTTACAGCGCCAAGAGCATCAATCAATTGAGCACAAATCCAATCACGAAGGCAGCACTTAACAAGCAGTACGGACCGAAAATCCCAGCCCAGTCACCAACTCACCACTCACCACGACGGTTTTGGAGGCATCGCTGTTGCCGGGATCGACGAGGTAGGTGACGGAGTCCCCTCCCATCCCGACGACGCGCTTGGCGACCGACTTGAGCGGGTCCTCGGGGGAGATCATCAGCACGACGTCCCCGGGCGCGACCCGGCCGAGCCTCGCGCTGACCCTGTCCACCGCAACCACGTCGCCCGCCAGGTTCATGGCCGGCAGCATGCTCGGGCCCCGCACAATGGCGAGCGAGCAGAGGTGCTGGTCGACGACGTGGACGGCGCAGTAGGCCTGCGCCACCAGGAACACGCGGGAGAGGGCGTCCCCCGCGATGCTCCGCCACGGGACGCCCCCGAGACGGCGAACGAAGCCCGACATGGCGGCGGCGGCGGCGAGGCGGAGGAGAGCTTGGAAAGAAGCGAGTTTGTGTTCAGGGAGCAGAGCAGCACCCCGGATGCTTCGCGCACCTCTGTCGGTCGGTTGGGCTTGGGCCTCTTCTTTCTTTCGGCCTACAAATCACATGCTGGATATACTCGAACGGACGAACAATTATCTCGTTAACTCCACTCAAAAAAAAATATCTCGTTAACTTTCAAAACCATTTAAATTATCTCATTGCCCCAGTTATAATTTCAAAACCGTTTCAATTATCTCACTGCCCCAGTTAGAAGTGGTTTTTTAGGAGGCTTCATTATTTTTTAAATTAAAATAATATACATGACAATGTTTTAGACCGTGGAAAATATTTCTAGGTTTCTAAAATTCCTGTAGAACAATCGTAAAGATGTTAGGATATAAGAAACCCAAATAAAATATGTAAATATTGTTAATATATATAATAGAAGCTTCTATAAATTAGATTTAGCTCTAAAAATGTGAAAACAATTATTAATATATATTCATGCTGGTTGCATCTCAAATATTCATTGTTGAAAGTTTTGAAACACATTTAGACATTTATTAGAACGTTTGGGAAATTTCTAGAGTTTTGTATGCTTTTTCCAGTTTCATATAAGCTAAACCTAATTTATGAAAGCTTTTAGATACTTTCTTCCATGACCTCAAAATGTTTATTTGGTTTTCTCGTGCCACGTTTTTCTTCAAAGTTCTCACAAGCGTCGCTTTCTGTGGTCTAAAAACTTTATTATGTGCTTTGTAGTTTCTTTATTTCCAAAAATAAAAACCATGAAACCATCCTGAAATCATTCTAAAAATTATGAGAGTTGAACGAGACATTTTATTCTATTTTGGAGTTAAGGGACACCTAAACAACTTGAGATACTTCTTGTGATTTAAAAACCATTACTTGTTTTCTAGATTTTTAATCGTAAAATTAAAATTAATGAAACTATCTAGAAAATCACTCCTAAGTGGAACAGAAAGGTAATTCAAACAATTTTAGGATGGTAATTTAAACAGTTCAAGAGTTGAAGGGCTAGAGAGGTCACTTAATAAAGAGTTTTAAAAAGTTGAAGGAGACAGTCGTCCGGCTTTGGATTGACAGACTCTGACGACAGTTAGTGCAGTCCCAATGCATAGTGTAGTCTTCTAGAGTAGTGTGTGCGCCTAATTTAGTCTCAATCATCCCAATACATACATAGGCCTTTTTATAGCAGTTTCTATAGAGAATAAAGTTTAATGAGCATTTGTATGCACCACAAACATAGAAGATCAACTGTGGCAAAGTAATCCTGTGGCATAATATGCTGCCGCATCTCACTATCAGTAGAGCAGAGCCTCGGAATGTTTTGGCAGCCACGATAATACAAACTATAAACGGCAAATGCACCTTCAGTAATGGCTAATGCGGTATCTATCTTTGCATGATTCTACACCCAAATTGGACTGCCAGCACGTTGCAGTTTTCAGACATGATGAAGTAGAAATACTACTAACTGTAGTCGTATATATGTACATATTGGCATATATAGGACATGGGCACATGGCGCCCCTGGGGGGTCATCTCATCTGGCAAGCCGCCGGGGGAGCACCTGCGCACGAAACACTAGCTTCATCTTCCTCCTCCTTAGTCCTCGTCGTTGCTGCTTCCTTCAGTTGCATCTTCAGTTCGGACAGTACGCATGACGACCTAGAAGACACCCCGAGCGTTGTCGAGCACGAAGTCCCTCCACGCCGCACAATCGCTTCTTCTACTTGTGGTCGCGCAGTCGATCTTTTCGCTAGATCCACCAAAGGAATAGAACGCGCGTGCATGATTGAATCGCAGGACCAAGCGAGCTGAAGAAAGACTACAGACCGAAAACTTGGTACCCAGGCAATAACAGTGTGAGGAGTTGTGTGCAAGTTCCAATAACAATGTGAGGAACACGTACATGCACCACTTTTCTTTTCTTTTCTTTTTTCTTTCTTTGAAACGCATATATATCCCACTTTGCCCAAAGGAAACACCTATACAGCTTATTAAGATCCTTTTTTAAAGTAAACTAATAACTTGTCCATGATTGGCGTCGGCCAGTTTGGATTCTTAAGAAATATAAAATTTAGGCCCTGTTTGGTTTCCATAAGTCAGGTGATTTATTAAGTCAGGTGACTGAAAACCAGTGACTTATAAGTTATGCATGTTTGGTGGTAGACGACTTATAAACTCATTAAAGGTGTAGGCCCCACGCAAAAAAGGGTGATTTATAAGTTTTAAGCAGGGGTGAACCAACTTAAAACTTATAAACAGGGATGACTTATAAGTTGATGGTGTTTGACAAAATAAGTCACTTTTTCACTTATAAGTAGGTGACTTATTTAGAACCAAACAGACCCTTAATCAACTACTCCCTCCAGCTTTTCTATAGATACGCATCTTTTATTATGTTTCTAGACATAATAATATAAATATCTAATGCATAGCAAAAGCTAGAAAACCAGGACGACCTATAATTTCAAACAGAGGGACTTGTACTTAAGTCCTATAGATCCAACCAGGGCCTAACAGTTAGTACGACTCGACGAGAACACGACGCTTGCCATCCAGTAATATATATACAGTAATTGGCAATGAAAATCCATACAGCTCAAAAAAAGATGGTGAAACACAGAAAATTATACTAAGAACCTTGGGTCTTCATGTATCCAGAAATACATACGTTCTACGGTGTATATATATAGCTAGCATAGAGAGGACATGTTACTTAGATGGGCCTTAAAAGATTAGGTAAAAAAAAAAAGGTCTTGGTAAATGCTTCATCATCTACTATATGTATAGGGGTGTAGTAAGGGGCATCATCCATTATCCTCGCCTTCCTCTTGAAGGGATAGATAGCTGGTGCCTCATGTAGTAGTACTCTAGTAGTACATGAGCTGCTGCTGCTGCTGGGCGGAGGTTGTGGCGGTGGCAGTATTGATGCCCTGGAAGTCGCCGTCATAGATGGACTGGCTGGCTCCGCCGCCCATCCCCAGTGCAGCGACCTGCTTCAAGGCGTGCTGACCCATTAGGGCTGGGTTCGTGGCCATCTTGCTCAGGGCCAGGCGCTGGTAGGCCAGGAAGTCTGTCGCCGACACTCCAGTGGAGAATGGTGCCGGTGCTGGAGGAGGCAGAGGCGAGGATGCTGTCCCTGGTGGAGTCGGCTTGCTTCCCCAGGAACACTGCAACAAATTAAGGCAAAGACTATTCAGTAAACAACTAGATAATATCGTGCATACCATACCAAGATGTTCTGTACATACCTTAATAAATCCCAAGCAAACAAAAGTTTTACTATCTGGATATATTTTCAGGGGATAATGTAGATAAACCAATTTATATTACCTACAAACCATTCACATAATACTTAGGCCTGCTAATGGGTTGGGTTTGTTTGGGTTAAATGGTGTGGGTTCTCATTTAATTTCGTTTAGAAGGGTTCGAATGGGTTAATCAGCAGGCTGGGTTGGGGCAGGGTGTATAAGAGATGTCGGGCAGGGTGGGGCAGGTTAGGGTCGAAGATGATACTCAGAATGGATGGAACCAGTGGGTTCAACCCGTGGACATGGCGAGACCCAGTCCCACAGTCGACGGCTAAACGCACCCGAGCCACCTCGCCCTCGCCCTTCTCAGCGCTCTCTGCTACGCTGCCACCACAAGGTTTGCTCCGGCGGACGATCACCTCGCATGAGGTGCAGCATCGCCCTTCATCCTCGCCAATAAGCCCTCGTCCAGCGGCTGGGCAGCGACGAGGTAGGTCACAAGAAAGCCAAGCAGCCCAACAGCCACAGCGAAGCCTAGAGGAAGCACTTGATTGGGGTTGGCGTGACGTAGATGTGGATGAGCAGTGACATGTTGACAGCACCATACCCACAGTGCTGGCAGCGTACAGGAGATCGATGCCCTGCCTGATGGCATCGTTGCCCTCCAGCAGGAATACCGCGGAGGCCATGGCCACTGAGGATGCTGCCGCAGTAACCAGCCTCGACCAGTACAGCAGGACCTTGCAGACGTTGGACTCCTCGACTGTCCTGAGCTTGTAGACGCCCATTGTAGACAGTGGTCTGGTTGGCTTGATGTCCAGGTGCAAGATCTGAAGGAGGAACTCATGGTGGGCAGGATCTACAGCTCCGTTCTTGCTGGACCGGTGGAAGCAGAAGCACCGGAGTTAGCGCTCGCGGCGGCGCCCCGACCGCCGCTGCTTCGTGCGGAACTACAACTGCGCATCGACCCACCCCAGATCCTCCTCTGTCCCTCTCCTCCATGGCGCCACACGGCTCCCCATTGCCGCTTTCTCGCTAGCGAATTTCTGTCAATGTAGGGCTTGTTTGGCTGCCCGTGTATCGACCTCAATCCATGTGGGTTGGGAGTGGTTTCCATCACACACGGATTGAGGTAGATACATGGGCATCCAAACAAGGCCGTAGGTGGGTTTGGGTTGGATCTACTCGGGTTGGGTGAATCCTTTCAGTGGGTTGGGTTGGGTGCTAGGGGGTTTGGAGTGGCTTGGAATGGGTTGGGAAGGTTGAGTCTGTTGCTGTGGGGTGGTGGTGGGTTGGAAAAGGGTGGGTGTTGACCCATAAGCAGGCCTAGTAATACTACTGTTATCCACCAACAATATTATTCTATTGTAAAAATTGACCTAGGAACATTCAGGATTTTACTAAATCCCGTTATCAAGGAAATGTGAAAACAAGAACCAAAGATACCTTTATCTGCCTCCCGCCAATAAGTTGGCCATTACCCATCTGAATTGCCAGTGCAGCCTCCTCATGGGTGCTGTACCTCACAAAGCCAAAGCCTTTATCACGAGTTACACGGACCTCCTCAATTGAGCCAGCCCCGAGTGAATGGAAAAACAGGTGCACATCATTGTTGGTAGCCTGGAAATCAAGAAAACATGGAAGAACGTTGATAAGACAATAAAAAAAGTTAACGAAAAAATGGTAACAGCAAATAGAAA